TGTATAAAAAAAGGGTGGGAGCTTGACTAATATGCATTTCTAACAGCATAAAGAACTACTTAATACAATGAATATGAAGTTGACTGGAAAATCCCAATTTTGAGGTGTCAAATGGGAAATGTCTCAAAGGCGCCTTCTGGTGATATTGACTCTGTTGGGTGTGAATGAAAATGATTAAAAATGTCAAAATAAGTTCATCTGTTGAGTGCATTTTAGGTTAATCTTGAAATTTCATCCGAAAGCTCAATATCCCAAAAGTTTGGCGAGCGGTTTATAGTCGTAACAGACTTAACGTTTATAGTTGTTGGCCACAGCTATTTTCAAAGCAGATCTGGAGGGAAAATTACTTTTAACACGCCGCACTCCCTCCCAAGATAATTGCTCAAGATATTTTTATTTTATTTTTTTATTATATCTGACATTTAGGCTTTTGCCGACTTTGAACGTGAGGGAGGAGAAATCCTCCAATTTTCCAATTTAACCTAATTGACACTTTCGTGTCTATCAGGTTTTAGTAGGAATGCATTCGTAGTATTTGTAGTGCCAGTATTGTACCGAGCGCATAGTTACACATACTGAGGTCACGTTGCACGGGTTGACCAACCTGTCCGGCGGGCAGGTGACAACATTTCGAGTTGCGAGCAGGCGAGCTCACGTGTTTCCTCTTTCTGGTGAAGTCATCGCTCTGTCAATATTTGCAATGGTAATCTCCCTGTAAATATGTAATACGCTTTGTCGGCATGTGTGTGCGGGCCACAGACAAAACAGGGGCGGGTGGCAGCTTTTACTGAAAACAACGATTTGCCATCGTGCAGCTTTGTCGGGGCCAAACTGAAATAGCCAAAAGGAACTGGAGAGGAGTCAAGTGACGTGTAAACAGCCGCCGAAAAGTTGAGTGCGCGTGTATACCGAATGTGTGTGAAAGCTGACTTTATCGGTCGACTAGCGAATGTGGGAAGTAAGCTAGTTGGAGATAAAAGGGTCAACACGCAAGACAAGTGTTGCAGGAAATCCAACATAGTTTTTGACTGTAGCGGTGATGTCACTCATTTGGCCTGAAGTGCCACATTCCCGACCTTTGACTGCCGTAGACGGGCTGTCTGGGAACATGTGTGTATGCGTAAAAACACCGCGTCAGCATAATGAGCTTGTTCTACAGCTCAACTCAAATCATCAGAGTTGACTCGAGTCAGACGAAAGATGTCGATTTTCGGGCAAGGGACTCGACTTTGACTTAACATCTGGTGTGTACATTTGAAAATATCTTCATGAGCTGTTTATTTTGTTTTGAAAGACTGTGTGTGTGTGTGTGTGTGTGTGTTTGTGTGTGTGTGTGCGTGCGTGTGCGTGTGTGTGTGTGTGTAGTGTGTGACATGGCAACCCAGGCAGTTTCCTCAGATGCGGATTGCAGAGATCAGCCCATGAGTCATCAATGTCACTCGGAATATTCATTCATTATGATTTTAACAAAATCGTGAAAAAGGAGAATGGCACCAAAAGTTACTTTGACGTCTAACTTCATCAACTTACGATAAAAAACCACAAAGACATAAGCTACGCTAACTTCACTGTTAAGGTCACCGATATCTGGCCAAACATTAACTTCATGTTAATCGTGTGACTAATTGAGAAGAAAATCACATAAAAAGCCGATACAGTGACTGGTTTGGGACAATTTCAAAATAATGTAGAAATGTCTTAGGAAGGCGAACTTATGCAAGTACATTTAGTGAGCGCTAATGTGCGAATCTATGGCAAGCTTGGATGAATTATGACTTGCTTAACCCAAATAATGACTTTACTCGACTTGCTTGAAATTTAACGGGCGGGGGGCGCCTTGACCTGACATGCGTACTTTTGGCTGCCGTAACTTCGGGCCTTGTTTGAAACTTGAAGGTTTAAAAACTCAAACTCATTTATGACTTACTGCCACCTCTGAAAATCATTCGCTAAAAAGCAGCCAAAGTCAAAGTGCAGCTCTTGTTTACCAGCTGGCGTGTGCCACACTTATCTGCACAGTTTGCATATGTGGATCCCGTCCCCGTGAGAGTATCTCCTATTCATCGGAACATAACAGGTGCAGAGTAACCACGGCTATGTTTGAACCCTCTGGTGTCTAACCAGTTGTCATCTGAAAAAGTTTTTGCAAGCCGATGTGTTTGCACGTTGGATGGAGCGTGTGTGGATTGTTGCCATAGTTGTGTGACCCACTCTGGGGATGTCATTAGCCACCTTACCTTTAAGTTTAGCGCTGTACTCCGTCTTGTCAGACTGACTGCGCCTCACCAGCGTCCCCAGGTTGATGTCACCTTTGCAGGTGTCGTCGGCCACGATGCTGTCCGTCTTCCTCCTCTCCAGGTAGCGCAGGAACACCGGTCGGTTCCTGCGCTTGATCACCTTCTCCTTGTTCTTCTCCGCGCCGCCGGCCTCCTTGGCATCCATGGTGAGCTTCCCGTGGTGGCTCGTCCGGTAAAGGAAGGCAGCCCTGGGAGCGGGAACAGGTGCACTCTTTCCCCTGTGTGCTGGTTACCTGCTCCGCACAGGTAACAAGGCTCCACCCCAACCCTAGTCCACCTGACATGAGAGCTGGTGTGAACACGCCTCTCCTCTGCTGTGGGATGTGACTTTGCTTGCATGGGAAAACTTTTGCAAGCTAGAAACCTGAGAGAGAATGTCAGTGCGTGCTCCCTCGTGACCCTGCTTGTAATTAAAAAAAAAAAAATCTAAATGGACTGACAAACCTAAGTAATTGAATTCATAAAAAGGGTAAATAATTTTTTTTTTCAATTTAAATCGTTTCACTCCCATGATGTGTCACAAAAAAAGTCGGGAATTTAATCCTCAACTTTAATGTTTCAAATTGTGTATATATTGCCCACAATGTAGTGACTGAGTAAAAAAATAATGGAAATATTTTTGTAAAAGAATTGTAACTGCCATTATGGTAATGACATGGTGCTTATGTATTTATAATACCATTAAAAAATCAGTTGGTTAAATTGATGCAAATCTGTGTTTATTTCTAATGATCAAATATTATTACTCATATGCAGGATTACTGGTATTCAGTATTAGTCGGACTATTATTTTTATTATCCATAATAAAATGAGCCATTGATTTCAAATGTCCAGAATAATTGTGTATTTTTAAATATAAAACATATAAGAGTGTGTACTTTTATTTTAGAAATTTGACATGCACCACTGGTACTGTAAATATGAATGATAAAAGAAATTAATGTGTGTTTACTCTTTAGGCAAATTATCTATACCTTACAATTTATTACATATTATTATTAGAATAAAAAAAGCCAGGTCCCAAGCAGCTGAAGTTTGAATAGATTTTTCATTGACAAAAAAAAAAAAAAAAAAAAGTGATGCATCAAATGTAAGTCAGGTCCAGCAGGTTCTTTGGCAGCACAATGAATGGATGCATTTCCTCCCATTTGAGAGCGGGTGTAATGTGAGTGCCCCAGTTTCTCTCCCGTGACATGAAATGCACTCACTGGGCAGGCATGTGTATCATAAATACATGGCAGGAAATAGTGAGGATGTCACATGAGTGCACCCTGAACGCCTTGGTGCTTCTGTGAGTACAACAGCACTCTGAATCCTGTTGAGATTCATGCAAACACACAATGTCGGCAAGCTCATATGTTTGGTCCCTGAGGGGTTTCTTGTCACATCATCTCTCTCAAAGTGCGGCTTTCCTAGAAGACCTAAGTCCAATGTTTTCAATGAATAACTTTATTGTACACATTCAGTCATTGGGCATTTTGGGAGATGATGGATTGCCATGACCATCGGATTGAACATGCGTACCGATCGAGTGAATCAGGTTGTAACGAGCACAGAATTCATGTCAACGCGTTTGAAATCACAACTCTGTGGCAACGGAATCAAAAACAACCATGCGCTTTTGGATTTCAATAACCCACTCACTCAGTCTGCAGATGACATCATTTGTTTGAATTGTGCACTGCGGACATACGAAGATAAAAGATGAAGGAGGCCAAGGGCCGATTGTTTGTTCATTGCGCGGTGCATGTGGACTTTGAGCTGATCATGCAGTGTCAACATTAAAGTCATAAGACTGTCAAGAGGGACGTGTTTTGCACAATTCTTGGAAACTCACGATTTGGAATGCAAAACAGCGTGGTTAAATTGTAAACGAAAGAAAATAATTAGAAAGAACACAATCCCAAATGAAGGGTTGTGCCCCAGTACGTGATCACAGGTCACAGCATAGATTTTTACGGTCAGGAATTGTCATTATTTTGCTCTGTGTTTTACTTACTTTCCAATTTGCATAACATCATTATTTTTATTTGTGTTTCATTCTGTTTCGTTGCATTACATTTTATCTTAATTTGTTTTATTTGTATTTTTTTTTGTCTGAAACTTTGTTTCATTGCATTTCTTTCCTTTAAAAAAATTTAATTCCACTGTGAATTTCGGTTTTATTTGAGTATTTATTTTACTCTGTGGAGATGTGGCAAATGACGAGTGGAGACAAAGGCGAGTCATGTCTCTTTATTCTATTCAACAAATCTAAATGTGAACACAGCAAACAGCAAGCTCCTCCCTTTCAACGCTTTCAGGTATATGAATGACTGTCACCCCAATATTTCGTGATTCCATTTATTTATTTATGTTATTTATTTATTTTATATTTGTTGATTTCCTTTTTTATTTATTGTTATTTCGCTCCAGAGAGTCTCATTATATTACGATGTTCCGCGGCAGCACAAGGGAAGTATTCGATTATCTTCCGGTTTTTATTCCCAATCGAAAGGTGTAAAAAAAGCGTTTTCGCAAACGCTGACTTGGTTATTCAATTCTTTCCTATTCAGCAAGGTGTTCGATCGTTTGAAATACTGTACTTATATTAACACGAACTACATTAAATGGTAATGAAAAACTCGTCACCTGTCGCATAATCGTAACGTTGATATTTTTATTTTTTAGGGCTTCTGCCGGAAGTGTTTTTACCATTGTGGCGGAAAGACAGGAAGCAGGAAGTGTGGTGAACGCGTCAGTCATGAGACCGCCGCTTTTACTCCGGTCCTCGGGCATCGTCTTCCGGCTACTCTTGGGGTCGTTTCCCGATTTTGGACACAAACTCCTCTCTCGTGCAGCCTATTTGCCGCATTTGTCCACGTTGAGAAAAACGATGCACTATCAAACCGAGGAGAGAGGAAGCCCAAACAGCACAGATTACCGGATTTATTTTAGTAAGTGCAGAACCGCCATTGTCGTAGCATAAACACAAACACACCCCCTCACAAGTGTTAATTTAATGGCGCCACCGAGTAATGGAACATTCCTAACAAAGTTTTAATGTTTTGACGTTATCTGGAATACCAACCCCCAGAAACGTTGGCCCGTCGCGTGTTCTACGTGCTATACGACGAAGTATGGAGGAGTTTTTAAGCATGTGGTCTGTGATTTTTCTGTTGAGTTGGAGCAGTCACTCAGAATAAACATGTTCAAGTGTGTTTGACGCAAAAAAACAACAACAAAAAAACCCCAATTACTGTTCTTTAAAAATAACGCCATCTAAAATGTTGCCAGTGTCCATGCCACTGGTGACAGTTGTGTTTGGTCAAACGCAATGACACTTAGCAACCAACATAATTGCTGTATGCCAAAGTGGGTTACATGAAGTATAATCGATAGGTAGCACGGTAGGTCGAGTTAAATGTCAATCTGAGGGCCCACTTTTTGTATCTTTTATGGATAGTAACTAGCAACCAGTCTGGGGGGCACTATACTCTTAACCCTGTGGAAAAAAAAAGTAACATTCACCAAATTGTGACATAAGCGGTTTCAGCCTGAGGCCAGCAATATTTAAGTCACGTTGAAGTGGAGCGAGTTACATTTCAGGCCTGCATCCTCATGCTACTACCCTCTTCTGTTAAAATAATGATATTGTTTTTAAATTTATTTTGTCACTAAGGTATATGCATTTGTTTGAATGAACATGTTTAAAAGATGCCATTTTGTTGCATTGTTTGATTGTGTCGTTTGGGCTATTGTCTCCTCCAGAAAATTCGGATGGCAACTACATTTCTCCTTTCCATGATATCCCCCTCATAGCTGAGCCAGAACAGGTAACCCTCATAATTCTCTCGTATGTAATCCATGGCAACTTTGTACTTGCATAATGTTTACCTTATGTATTTTTTTTTCTTTCATCAGTACAATGGTTTGCCAGCCAAAAAGGCCAAGAGGAACGAGAGTGAAGTACGTTCGGATAAGTTCTTATCAGAGTATGAAATTCAGCTCAGCATACGCCGCATGGACTGTAAATAAGGTCTGTATGTTCAGGTGCTCTTTAACATGGTCGTTGAGGTGCCCCGCTGGTCAAACGCTAAGATGGAGGTAAGCGAAAGTCACCCTCGCATGGTTTTCTGAAAACACCATTTTGTTGCAAAGTTAAGCAGTTTGGAAAAAATTGATGACGTCCATAAATTAGCCTAGAAATATGCATTACTAAAAATGAAGCATTTCTTACCACTTGAATACATAAATATGAATTGTATTTTGTTGTTCTTACACTACCTTTTCATGTCATCAGCTGAGAGTACAAAATGCCGTGTTTATTGCATTTTGAAATGTTCGCATATTAGCTTTTCTTGAACACTGATGGAAAATATACGCGTGATGCTCACCTCACGCTAGTACCGGTAAGCAGGTAAGAGACATTCCATATAATTTAAAAATGTATGCTTGTATTCATGAAATTACTAACAACTGTTGAATTTTGAAGTAACATATGTATTTATAATAATAATTCAGTGGTTTTTTTTTTTTTTTAATGCTGACAAAATTGAGACAGTTTTGTTTACACTGTGGACATACCTAAATACTTGCGCTGACCGTGGAGAATACCTGTTCACGACACCCACAAGCGCACAAATACGCCGCCATTCACCATTTCAACAATTTCCAGATTGCGACAAAGGAACCACTGAACCCCATTAAGCAAGATGTAAAGAAAGGCAAGCTCCGATACGTTGCCAACATATTTCCACATAAAGGTTATATTTGGAACTACGGCGCCATCCCGCAGGTAAGGCGGTCATCGTACCCTTGATTGTCATCAGCAAGTGCTACTGATGAACCATAAACATTTTCCGAACATAGTGTGATGTGGAATTTGCAGCAGCTGTAGTCATTGATACTTATTTTACTCATCATTTAGTTCCGGGTCTTTTGAGCTCATGCTTGCTTTTAAGTTAGTTTGTACAAAATAAATGCTCATTTTGTTTATATCGTTCAACGGGGAAGACGTGGGAGGACCCGAACCACATGGACTCGGAAACAAAATGCTGTGGCGATAATGATCCAATTGATATTTGCGACATCGGCATGCATGTAAGAACACTCTATATTCGAAGATTTTTTTTTTGTCTTTGTGGGGGGGGGGTTCTGTTAATTACTCTGCTTTTGTCGTTGAATCGCTTTGCTCATTTGGCATTTTGTTGCCTTGTCCTGTAGGTGTGCTCTCCTGGTCAGGTCATTCAAGTGAAGGTGCTGGGAATCCTGGCAATGATTGATGAGGGAGAAATGGACTGGAAGGTCATTGCTATCAATGCAGAGGACCCCGATGCCAAAAGCCTGAACGGTGGGTGTTTTCTACAGGTCATACAACTTAAGTCGATGAACAGATCCAACGCAAGCTTGTTTGAGCAGGTGTCGTGTGTGTCTTACTGTGTCCCTCCAAAAATACATAAATAAGTAAATTCCATGGCCTCGGCGAACTCCTCCCATGCCCGAGTTTTTGTCTTGGTGACCGCTGAAGCCACGTTCCGCTTAGCTGGCCGGTACCCGTCTGCTGCCACTGAAAATCTGACGGCGACGAGAAAAACTGTTTACGACTGTTGAAACTGTTTGCCAATGTCTGGCAAACATCTTTGTGACGTTTTAAGGAACTCTGACGGAAAAAAATGACAAAAAAATCTTTCGCTACATGCACAAACAAACGCAAAGCATTCTCCGTTCAGTGAGATACGGGCTGAAAAGACGAGTACCAACAATTTTATCCATGCGTGCAAGTGATCCACGGTAGTCAAAATCGAGCTTTTTGTTGTTTTGCCGTTCAATTAAGGAAAAGTACTGGCCAGTAGGGATCCAGTTACCAATGCGTCAACACATCCAGTGACAATTTGTTATTTTTCCATCTGTTAAATTCCAAAAGAGCTTGTCTCAACTCCACTCAATACAAGTTGAGCGTATTTGTGGCAACCTTATTTTGTTCACTTTACGTAGGATGACCTCAGCTATGGTCAACCGGCGCTGACAGTATCATCAAACCAACTTGGAGCTGTTTTCATTTTCAATACAATGGTTGCGTACAGTCAACAGTAGGCTGTGGGTCTTAATAGTTGCCCTGCGAGGTTCTCTCGGGGTGCAACAGTAATTTGACACTAATGTGAGATTTCTCGTTTATTCACTGATCAAAACAGCCGCAACTGAATTTCACGCAGGAATCATGCTCACTGACATGCCAATAAAATGCTGTCATTGCCTGTCTGTCAATGTGACATTTTCTGTATACAAGACTTTTCCCCCCAAGACAGACAAATTCATCTTTTGCAGCAATTCAATTTTTGTATTTTATTTTTTTAATAAAAGACATAGATGACGTCCGCAAGAGCCGGCCTGGTCATTTGGAGGCCACCGTGGACTGGTTCAGGAAGTATAAGGTTCCGGATGGGAAACCCGAGAACCAGTTTGGATTCAACGCTCAGTTTCAAGATAAGGTATGCTAACGGATTTAAAACAAGCGCCTATGAAAACCCGGTATGTTGAGGCTGTGTGTTCTTGTCCGAAGGACTTTGCCATGGAGATCATCAAGTCCACACATGAGCACTGGAGGGCACTAGTGCAGAAACAGACAAACAGTGGCGGGATTGAATGGTAAGATGTCAAAAGGTTGACTTTGCCGAGCCATTTTTTTATTTTATTGTATTTTTTAAATGGAATTCATGCCTGTTTTTTTTTCCAGCAAAAATGTGTCCTGTTCTGACAGTCCTTTCAAATGCAACGCAAAAGAGGCAACGGATGTGATTCAGTTGGTGAGACTTTCCATGCGCGTTACTTAGTAATGATCGCTACCAGAAGAGCGGCATGGCAACCGTACATCAATGATCATTTGTAACTTTCATTGACGCAGGCACCCGCGCTTGGTTGCGGACACCGTATTTCGTCAGAGGGTAAGTAGATCGTGATTTAGTTTGAAGTTGTTAAATACTCCTGCGCACACATGTAATTCCTCTCGCTACTTTTTCGACCTGCACAGTGGACAAGTGGCACTTTGTCTGAGTGACTGGGATACCCGAAAAGACATCATGGATGCAAGCAATCATTGCTATCAACGGCGCTCAACTTTTTGTGAGCAGTGTCTAGTCATGTCTGGTGAGGATCTTTTGTCATCTCTCGAAATAAAACGCCCGGGGTTTTGCTGTCAATTAAAGCTCAGCATAACATAGTGTACATTTTTTACATCATAAAATAGCACATTGTTGGTTTTTTTTTTTTTTTGGTTATCTTGTGGAGTCATGCTCCGTGTCCAATCCAGAGATGAAATATGTTTCGACTGCCATGGCATTTCTTTTTATTGTCATCATCCCATTTTTTATCATCGGTCTGTTTTCCCTTGCGGTAGATTGTCACATACGTCGCTGTAAATTCTTGTTTTTGATGCTTTCTCGACACATCAAAGGCCTTACCGGATTGGCAGAAAACGGATCACCATGTGTGACTTAATCCATTGATTGATGTGAAGACATGATGTTTGCCTTGTAGGCCGTTAAAGGAGGAGCGTACACACAAACATTTGAAACTAGGCGTGTATTTATAATGGTAAAACTGATCATTTTATACAAGTCAAATATCTTTAAATAAATATAAATTTATTGGAGGGAAAGGGGGAGAAAAAAAAACACCCACACCTTGGCAATATCAGCAATGATATAATAACAGCTTTGAAATAAACCGCATTCAGTACATTACAATACTTACAGCTGAATACCTATCCTTAATCCAAATTTTGGAGCATACCAAGCTTCTGGAGAACAAGGGAAGCCTTAAGAAATCAAACAGGAAAGAAGTGACTTTTAGTGTCCGCCTGCAAAAACGAAAAAGTATGAAGTACTCGTTGTTTGAGCCAAGTACATGCAGTACTCTTGTTATACCCATAAAGTCATTCAAGTAATTCTGACTCATAGCTTCAAGTATGGCGCTGCTTTTTCTTTGATTCATTTTTTTCTTCTTTTTTTTCCACTTGCTAAATCTCTTTAATCTTCTCACCACAACCTGCTACTGTCGCTGGGCTCTGTACAATGAACACATAAATCGCTGTGGATTTTACAACATCCAAAATATAAATTCCAATGTTTGTCGGGCTAACAGTAAACGTTGCGTTGACAAGAGTGTATTCTTGACAAAGACTTTACTGGAAAATGTTTTCTTTTGAGATTTGATCATTTGTTGGGTCAGTTTGCCATGTTGAGAACCTTCGTCGAGTTCAAGAGTTGAAAATTTCATTTTGGATTTTCACTGTACAATGTGACACACTCATTTACACCCTGTTTTAAATAAAACACTTTGTACTTTATTACATATACATAATTTTTTTTTCCTGAAAAAAATTTCGAAGTGCTTTCAGAAAACGAATTTGTTATAAGATTGGGTTAAAATTGTTACTATAACGTTACAGTCATTCCATTATATATCACATGAATTAAAAAATAAAGAGGAAAATCATACAATTGCTTAGTGGTTATAAATAAATTGAACTATACACAGGCACAAAGATGATACTCACTGCCCTGTAGCGAAAGCAAATAAATTGCCCTTAATTTATTCAATATCATACTTTCCCTTTCGTCACATCAGTGCATATACGTTGTGTTCATTTGAGGAAAAAAAAATAATCACCATCCTACTCGCTAAAACTTAAAAAAAAATAAAATTAAAAAAAAATCCAGGAACTTTTTTTTTTTTTTTTTTTTCCCCCTTGAAAAATCTGTGTGACGTATTTTAGAAAAGTTGAACCGGGACACAAAATTCAATGGCACGTCCCTGAATGAGGAAAAAGACAAAAACAAATGCAGGCAATAATGTACAGTTTCTTTTTTAAATGTCCCTGATTTTACAGTAACATTAGTAATTCAAATGTTCTAGCAGGTAGGTAAGACAGTAAGAAATGAACTTTTTCCACCTTTTAGGTGGCATGCAGTTAAACTGTAACCCAAAAAAACCCAAACAAAAAAAAACAAAGAAATATATATAGATTTTTTTTTCCTATTGCCAAACTGGTTTTGAGGTATATGACTGGTTGGTACTGTACATTATTTAACAGCCTTCTTCTCACTGCCTAAAGAGTCTCACATTGTATAATTTTTTTTTAAACAGGTTCAATAGCACCCTAGGAAACAAAGATTCATTCGAACACAAAGAGAAACAACGAATTCGGCTTAGCGCATTCTTTACAACAGACACACAACTTATACCGGTAATTCCAAAAAGGGAATTTAAGTTACTGTACACATCTCACCTGTTTATTTTACAGTTAGATTACAATAATCCATGAACGAAGCCACAGCAAGCCAGCTGCCCTTTGAAAGTGACACCCAAGCTGACCCTGTCCCATGCTCCTCAGTGTATAAAAAGCACATCAATTAAGCACCACAGACATAAAACTACACTTAATTTTTCACCATTCAGGCTGGTTCAGTGAACTCGCCCAAAGGAACATTTTTGCTGACAGTTAAACTGGAAAACCTTGGATAATAAAAAGCTTTTTTTTTCTCCTCTTTAAAATGATAAAGTAGCACCATTTGAATGGCTCAATGAATAGAATCGAAGTTGTGGAAGAAGCACCAGCGCAATAGTGTTCTTTTTTTTGGGGTGGGGGAGATTAAAAAAAAAAAATCATACATTGTGTTGTTTTACTTTGGGAATGTGTGGACCTTACTTTTGGATTCATTGTTATATCAATTTTTTTCCTCTTATGTTTTAGAATCAAGAAGTGCTCAAGATACACTGAAACATCAACTCTATGAATGAAATCAAATCTTTCCCATTATATCATTATTTCGTCTGCCGTATAAGTTATTGTCTCAAGACAATTTCAAAGACGACATATAATTAGCACCTTGAAGTTTTCAAATTCGGCATTCTATGCCATGTTGAAGTATTTCAAAATGTAAAATAAAGCCACCAAAGATGACGCTTTGTTTCCAGTAAAAAAAACAAAAACCCAAACCAAAACAAAAAAATAGGTCTGTGTGTACAATTGAGAGCACCAGATGTTTTAACAGTGTGAATCTTGCAAAAGTTGCAAAACAAAAATAAATACATCCATAGCAGGGTCAACAAATAAAGCTCAGTTGTTAAAAGTCTAAAACACCTGAACACGTTGGGTTAGGAGTGTTTGAATGAGGCCAGTGCTGCAGTTGGTCATAGCATAAATAAAGCACCTTCATTATTTATTTTTTTTTTCTTGAGGGTATTTTAAGCAAAGTGACTATAAGGTCCTGTGACCTTAGTGAAGGCATACGGAGATGTACTGACATAGGTGTCGGTTGTGCACGATGAGGACCCCTCAATGAGTGCCTTTATAAAACGCTTATAAGGAGGCTCCCCAAGAGATTCTGATGGCTCCGGATGCTCACGCTTCATCCCCTTTTTGTTGCCCTTGCCTGGCGTCCCCTCGCCGCCATTCCTGTCGGCATCTTCCTCCTTTTCTCGAGCCTTTTCTGCCATCTTTGCTTCCCACATGGCCAGACCGTGCTTAGCCTCATTCAAATTTTTGTGCTGGTAGAAGACCAAGGATATACGTGTTGGGTGATGGCGATCCGGATTTTTAAGAGGCGTTGTGGCGTGGAGCTCCCGTTTAGCGCATTCAATGAGGACCGAGCCGTGGCTCGGTGCCACTGCCACTCCACCGATTTCGGGGTCCAAGAAGTTGTGCTCATTGTCTGACCAAATTTCTGGCTTTTGCGGGGTCGGGGGTCTCTGTAGGGCTCCAGGCTCCTGTTTAATACCCGTCACCATGGGATTACCGTTGAGCAGACCCAATCCTGTCTGTGTCTCTGGGTTTAAACACTCACCGCTGAACTGACCGCCAAGCATCTTTGGGCTAGCAATACCCATTTCTTGCTTAATTTGCATATGGAATGGTTGTTGGCTCGGAGGGAACATTTGAGGACTCCCAAAGTATGGATTCGGGGCTCTTCCAAACTGATTGCCATGACTCCCGGCAGCTGGATACTCTCGAACTCTGTGGGCAGTGGGCGTTCTCGAAAGGGCGTCCATAAAATGGGGGTCGGCCACTCCGTTAGGACTACAGGGACTGAAAGCTCTCATGGGGTGGACTGGCCTCATGCTGTATGCATTGTAGCCATTGACTTGTAAACCATGATCGGCATAATTCTGCGGGTAATTGAGGTCGTAACGCTGATGGGCTGCATACTGCTGCTCCGAGTACAGCACTTGCCGTTGTTGTTGATACATGTCCAGTTGCTTTTGGTTTGAAGCATAGTATGGATGGTAGTTATCAAGAGGCATGCCTCCGTTACACTGATAAACAGGGTATGAATGTTTAGATCCATCCATGAACGAGTTGGGCGCATGGACCGGGGAAGGATACGGGTTTGCTGGTGTCGAGGCTTGATGATGAAACATGCCGCCTGGCTTTGAAGTGCTTGGAAAAGATCCTGGGTGGCCAGGGAACCTGGGATATTTGGCGGCATTTGGTGCACCGGGATAAGAGGTAAGAATGTTTTCGTGCTGTTGATGCGGTTGCAGAGAATGGCCTCCGAAGGGTTCGCTCGCTTGATCTGGATGTTGAGAGGCTCCCATAGCACCTGGAATAAATCCCCAAGAATGAAAGGATCAAAATACAATGGACGCAAGTCAATTTTGTGTAACTAGGGTTGCCAATATATATATTTTTTTAATGACCTAAGGGAAATGAGTTTTACCTTGCACAGGTGTGCCCAGAGCGACATTTTCACAGGTCCCGGTTTTTGACTTTGACGGGGTCACTTTCTCTGCCTTATCATGAGAGTTGTCTATCACGGTGTTCTTGATCGCCGCTGCTTTCTTGGCATCCAGCTTCTTCTGGCGACATGACTTTGCGGGCTCAGCAAGCATGCGCACCTGGCGGCGGAAGGCACTGAGGGCTTGAATGGCACCCAATTTGATTTTTTCCTGCTGACCCTCCTCGCTGCCATATTCATCCGTGTTGGCAACTTTATACAGTGGTAGGACGTGGAGCTGCTCATCCTCTGGTATCTTTCCAATCTCTCTGTTGTCTTCCCTTGTTAACGTACATACCTGCAAAAACAGAACGAGTTCATGACTTTATTCAGGGTATCCGATCCAAAAACAGGGATTGTTTTCGCACCTTTGTTGGAAGGGTTTTAAGATATTTTCATGTTTTCTTTTCCTGCGCCAAATACCAACCAAACATGACAGACATATTTAACTTACCACAGTGCTGCCCCCTTGCATGTTGTGGAGGTCTCTATGAGCATGAGCACAGAAGTCTAGACAAGCAGTAACCCCAGAGAAGGGACGCCCTTCTTTAAAACCCAGGCGACAATCAGGTGCTCTGTGTTCATGTTCCACCTGTTTCCACAGAACACAGAAATTTCACTCAAGATTGTTTCTTTGGAAAGTATGTGGAGTTAGGCCAACTGCAATGAACCACACTGGGGCGCCAGAGAGCAGACGCTCCTCTGTGTCATGTAGTAATTTATTAAGTTGAATGTCTCTTGATGATGTTAACAAGCTTCAACTTTAGTCAAGGAACTGGTATCAATCCACCCAAATGTATTCTGCAAAGTCATCTCAGAAAAAAAAAAACTTGAGAAAAATCAACTTGGGCGACTCAGTGTTTGTCTAGTATGAGTGTTCACATTGCATCAGCGATAGCACGGGCGAATGGACAATCTACCGCTGATTTGGAAAAAGATTTGGATGAGATCCTCAACAAGCTTGATTTGATACTTAAGCAGTCCAAAAGTCCCCACAATAATGACTTATAAAAGTGGTCGTAATTGAGTAAAAGGTTGTGGACCATGAAAGCCGTTGGAGCAGCCTTAAGCAAGCCCCGGTTACCTTGACAAGAGTGAATAGTCTACTTAAGACAAAGGTCAATGATCTCGAAGGGCGCTCTCATCGTAATCATATTCAGATAATCGGCATTCCGGAAAAAGAGGAGGGAGGTAAACAACCAAAACTGCTGAGGGGCGACAGGTTTCAAACCCCGATTGTGATTGATCAGGCACACACGACAACCGCCACCGCCGGAGGTTGTTACGCCCCCCCGGCTATTATAAGTTAACATCTTGTCCCAAGCTTGAAGAACGATATCACCTTCCTCGTTCGCACGTCTATCACTTCCTCCAAATAAGGCATTTCGTGCAGTATCATACCACAGAATTCATGGCCAAACTGAATTAGCGTAGCACCGTAGATGCAGCGTAGCTGTGTGCGCATGTCATTGTGCAGTTTGGTCCAAAACTGACACATGTGACTCTGATATAGTGACATGTTTAACGAACAAGGTGGCCAGCAATATTATTTTTAAAATAGTTTTTAAAA